CCACCCGATAAATATATAGGACTACGTCTTATGACAAAAACACTCTTTCAATTTTAATCACATTAATTATTTCTTTTCGTTGTTTAAGAGTCTTCATTGGTGCCTAATTTGACATGTTATGACTGCTCGGACAGTTTTAAAAACTTCTGGAACCCTTGGTCAGCATGCCACAAAAATCTCAGCGGGGTAGCACTTCGTGAGTGTCATGAAAAGGACAAATACTGTAAGGTGAGTAGACCAGGATTTAATTACAGTGGTATCACACCACAATTTACAACATAATCTCTTTCCAATATTTGTTTTATGATTGGTTAAAATTAAAATTTGTCGCAACAATCTGCATATGAAATCAAATTGTATATTTTTCTTGAGAATGTTGCCAAATCTAGTAATGGAAGGCAACACCCGGTGATCTTTATAAATCTTGGGGATCTACAGATCGTTTAGTCTAGAAATAGCTGGATTCATTGTATCTTATCTTACAGTATGATTATTTTATTACTATTTAATATGTCATTGGTGAGATCGATCTAGAGTCTTCAACCGGAACATTTTGAATTGATACAGAATTCTTATGGAATGAGAATTATAAACGTTTTATATACGTTTTACTTCAAGGGAAGGAATTCTTTGTTAGACCACTGAGGATACTGATGAAACTTTTTGAATTCAATTCGTTTCAAACACCATATGATAATCAAAAGTTATCTCTATTTAGTGACCTTATTGGGATTTTTAAATCTCAATCTCACTCTAACACTTCTAATCGGTTAGAGTGAAGGAAGTTGGCGATTAAATCTAAGTCTTCGGAGTACTGTAATTCGAAGCGTTGCATGGAGGTATATATTAAGTACCTCTCAGTATAATAGTATCAGAACCATGAATCGTTTAGAATAACAATTATGGGTGCAAGTTCAAGGTATTCCCATACGGGTGGTAGATGACGAGTCTATTTAAACTCTGGATTATGCTATTTATATCTATGTATCTACTTGATCAAACTGAATTTGCTTTAAAAGGGTTAATTAAAGACTAAGAGTACAAATTGTTAATTAAGCAGTCTGACCTAGGTTTGGCTTTATCATGGCTCGTTATATTTCGTTGAAATCATTAGAAACAAAGGAGATATATTTCTCAACAATAAGGCATATATTTTACTGAAATCAATTCCGTACAGTAGTTTTCTAACAGTTTGCAAAAACGAACTTTAAAACGTTAAGTAACCTTTTACGTAAAGTTTTGGCGTTTAAAAATAAATGGCTCGATTTTACTTAGTTTAAACTTTCAGATACGTGATGGCATACTTTTCTATAGATTTTGGTAGATTTTTATAGATATTTTTCACAAATTTGAGCACAAAAAAAAAAGTGCGGAATGTCCCTTTAAACAGTTTATGTTTATGTTATGTTTGACTCTACTTTTCTTATATTTTACCTAGACTTTTGTCTGATATGTATGGTTGGCTACTGTAGATGCAATTCTTTCTCTTTTCAAATAAGGAATTTTCAAATGTACACCTTTTCAGAGAACAGCAATGTATTGTGAATTTTATACCGTAACTTTTCAAAGTTTTGTCTTGCAGGTTGAGAGAATTTCGATCAAGTCCATTACATTGAAAATAACACGGGGATGTGTTTCCGAGTGCCTGTATGGATGTAAAGTTTATGGATATGGAATCACTCAATTACGATGCACATCATGTTGTCAAGGTTATGCGTGTAATACAGACAATTCTTCTTCTTACATACCGATTTCATGGATTTTGCAAATTGTGATATTTTTTAGTTATTGTTGGTATATAGTCAAAGTTCAATAAATCATACTTTGCAATGTAGTTGCATTAGAACTAATTGACATTTTCCTGAAATATTCTATAATTAAAATGGGTGTGGAGGTTGTCTTTGTCACAATCATGAAGAAATGCGTAATGGTCGTTGCAAACAAGGAGTCATGATGTTAAAAATAATTTAGTCGTAGTTGTATTGCTGCTGTTTGACCCCATAGCTTCATGGCGTATATAACGTGTAATAGTAAAGCACGTTTTCCCTGAAAACTGCAATGTCAAATTGATACGCTTATGGCGTATATTTTTAACACCGAACTGTCCTCTGAAGAATGAAAAATCAACTTCATCTTCATCTGTACTTTAAGAAATGTGCAAATCTACTCTTTACTTTTGATTAAGAGAACAAACAAATTAATAGTTTGCTATACGGCCACACCTCAGCTGTACATATAGACAAATTGTAGCTGGGCGATAGAAGCTCAGAAGAAATGAATCAAATTTAGCATACCTCGACATATACTACGACCTTAATCAAAATAATACAAATATTGTAATACTATATTACATGTATATTAGAACATAATGTAAGTTAAAACTGTATCTATTTATTCCTGAAATCACACCGTATGTCTGAAAAAAAACACATCTAAATTATCGGTCAAGCAACATACACTGTATGTCCTCGGAAAATTGAATCAACTGTAGAAAACCAAATCAAGCCTAAATCGGAAAATCTGAAAACCGATGTAGAAACAAGTCCATGAATAAATAAGACAATTTATGGACACACCGTCATTAGGGATATAATAATTAAAAATAATTATATAATTATTATATTCCTGATGACGGTGTGAGAACCGCATTGAAACGTTGAAGTAATAAATATTCTAGAAGCAGGCCCTATCTATCCATAAATTGTCTTATTATCTATAACCTGTGCTTCTAATATGCCTTTGAAAGATTAAGTCCATGAATGATTAAGCCCAAGCGCCCGAAAATATAGAAAAGGCTTTGAAAGAAAAACGAAAAACCTGGTCTACTAGTCCCCCAGTAGCCTGATAATAAAAGTCGTATAGAAATAATAACCCTTCTACTACTATAGTAGCCTGGTAATAATAGTCGTCTAGAAATAAAAACTTGTTATTACTAGTGCCCCTGTAGCTTGGTAATAATAGTCGTCTAGAAATAAAAACCTGGTACTACTAGTGCCCCTGTAGTCTGGTAATAATAGTCGTCTAGAAATAAAAACCTGGTACTACTAGTGCCCCTGTAGCCTGGTAATAATAGTCGTCTAGAAATAATAACCTGCTGCTACTAGTGCCCCTGTAGCCTGGTAATAATAGTCGTCTAGAAATAAAAACCCTGCTACTACTAGTACCCCCGTAGCCTGGTAACAAAAGTCGTCTAGAAATAAAAACCTGGTATTACTAGTGCCCCTGTAGCCTGGTAATAATATATTCGGCTTGATATCGTTAGATTGATCGTCGATTTCTAAAATAGGCCCGACATAGGCCCTATATCTCCAAATCAATCATCTATCCACTATCACATGCCGATATCGTCCCGACGTCCGTTTCACGTCAGATATCATAGAAGTGTGCACATCGGATGTCCATCGTGAACCGCCAACGACCCGATGTCGGCAAGATTTCGGCTTGATATCGTTAGATTTATCGTCGATTTCTAAAATAGGCCCGACATAGGCCCTATATCTCCAAATCAATCATCTATCCACTATCACATGCCGATATCGTCCCGACGTCCGTTTCACGTCAGATATCATAGAAGTGTGCACATCGGATGTCCAGCGTGAACCGCCAAAGACCCGATGTCGGCAAGATTTCGGCTTGATATCGTTAGATTGATCGTCGATTTCTAAAATAGGCCCGACATAGGCCCTATATCTCCAAATCGATCATCTATCCACTATCACATGCCGATATCTTCCCGACGTCAGTTTCACGTCAGATATCATAGAAGTGTGCACATCGGATGTCCGTCGTGAACCGCCAACGACCCGATGGCGGCAAGACTTGACATCGTTAGATAGATCGTCGATATATGAAATAGACCCGATGTAGGGCCGACAGAGTCTGAACCGATATCGATTAGTCTATAACTAGCCGACATCGGGCCGAAATCGGGTCGAGGTCGTTTTACAGCGCAGACGTGCCGAGATTGAGCCGATGTCGGCCCGATGTTGCGATGTTTGCTGGGATAGTCGTCTAGAAATAAAAACCTGGTATTAGGTCTACTGTGCCCCTGTAGCCTGGTAACAATAGTCGTTTAGAAATATAAACCTGGTACTACTAGTGCCCCTGTATCTTTAGTCGTCTAGAAATAAAAACCTGGTACTACTATTGCCCCTTTAGCCTGGTAATAATAGTCATCTAAAAATAAAAACCTGGTATTACTAGTGCCCCTGTACCCTGGTAATAATAGTTGTCTAGAAATAAAAACCTGGTAGCCTACTACTAGTGCCCCTGTACCCTGGTAATAATAGTCGTCTAGAAATAAAAACCTGGTATTACTAGTGCCCCTGTAGCCTGGTAACAATAATAGTCGTCTTGTTAAAATATTTTGGTACTTCAGCGGCCAGATAACAAGGATGTATTAGTATTAATACTTGCGACTGAGTTACGATGGCCCAATTTGGCAATTCAAACGGCCGTCCAGTATCAGTAGTTTACAATTATTTGGTACTAACTGTAGTCCAATAACAATAGTCCGATACTACCTGTGGTTCAATAACAATTGCCTGGTGCTACCCGTTGCCAAGTATCAATAGCCGGGTACTACCAAAACAGTCCAGTATCGATATCCTGGTAGACTACAAACACTGGCCCAGTCATAATATTCTTTGACTGCCACAGTCATGCAAAACAACTTGAATTAGACCGAAACATCTGCCTCTATCTCAGCCTCTGATAGCTATTTTGGAAGTTGTAGGCTGGTATATAGACAGAAAAACGAGGCAATGTTTTGTGGAGACTTCCACACTTCCGAAGGTGCGGGGGTTTTAATGCAATTGACCAAAATAATCTGTCAATAACACAAATTATTTTCATTCTATATACCGTAATTTACAATGTTATAATATATAATGTGAATCTGACACCATTTTGGAAGTCGAACTCTTTCGGAATATCATGATATTTATCAAATCTGGCACCGCTGTATTCTTGAAAGCAAAACATAGTTATCTCCCTTCCACATAATACGCGCTCAATACTTCACATTAGAGCAAAATTTTCTTGTTTATTAATGAAATATAATGCCCAGTTCATCGTGAATAGCATACAATAGTGACATTCAAAACTAAACGACACTAGATATTACTCAAAGATGACTATTACTAGATTTATTGGTCGTGAGAGTCATTTTCGTGGAAAAACATTGTATGAAATTGCGAGCAACTTGAAAAACTTTGGCGAGGGAAGAGTTGTGACAAGATTAGCATTTCACAATCGTTACCCAGAGAAAAGTTTTTATAGATTAACAAAAGTAGTACCTAATTTTACAGATACGGTAAGTGACTCTCATGGACTAGGATTTGGATGAGTGATAAGCTTACTAAGTTAAACATTGACATCTCTTTGTGTTGTAAGGATTCAACAACGAATTTCGTCAAAATTAAGAAAAACTGATTTTTTTTTTATATCCTAGATGTTTTTTCAGATACTCTATAAAATGATTGAATTGGTTTTTTTTCTTTCTTTATGAATCCCTCACCGGGCGAATTTTTCATGAGTAACCAACTCGACAACAGCTGCAAAATGTGTCACCTATTTTGGTGTGCAATGTTTGATCTATTAATAAGTCGAGTTGTATGGATACCCAGTGGTATTTTTTTTAGTATTTATCATTATAACTAATGACAATTCTTTCAAACAACAATGATTTTAATAAAAGAAATACAAATAGTGACTGTCAAAATAAGATAAGCAAAACGTAAGAGTGATTTATTGCTAAATGTCATTGAAACAACATAAGACAATGGCCCACATTGTGTTCCATAGAATTTTTCTAATGACATGGAATCAGCTAGTTTGAAACCCGACTTTATTTAACTGGAAGATATTCTAGCAGATGACACAGATGACACAAGTAAATTTGGCCAATAAAAAATTGCGATATTTGGTTACAACTGAAATCCGCCATTTTGTATATGTTAGAAATAGATAATAAATTTGACATTGCTTTGAAAAATTCTGTTGTTTGACGTAGAGATAACCCATATTTATCAAGCCGTGCAGATAGAACCCACTGTTGACTGTAGATAATATTTAATTTCAGAATTCTGACAAATTGACTACGATAAGATGTAATCTTTGATAAGACTTCTTTATAACTTATAAGCTTATCACATGCTTAATGCATTTAGTTATAGTTCCAGGAGAGTTGACTGAAAAGTTCTACCCTCTGAGTCAATGACTTCAATGTTTAAGCTTACAGAATTGAAATTTTGAAAAACATCAACAAAATGCCTCTGATACTTTTAGTTAAAGATTGCCTTTGGGTTGATGGAAAAGTTTTATTTGGAAATGTAACTATGATTTTACAGAGGGGATTTTTCGAAGAGTGGGTCATTTTCATGTGAATTTGATTTTTTGTTTCCAATGTAAAATCACTGAACCAAATATTTTTATGGACCCAGAGACATTCTAGATAAGACAAATGGCACGGGGCTTTAAGATTCAAAAAATTCAATGCTAAGCTCAGATAGAGAATGAGATTATAAGCCAACTGTTTTTGCAAGTTGGTACATGTATAACGCATTGTACAGATTGAATTGGAATATCAGCTTCATAATATTAGATTAGCATGAACATGAGCACACATTATCAAGACATTGACACAGCATATTGCTAGTGATGTGGACATCTCTGGAGAGTGTTTAGCACACTATCACGAGTTTCCACTGGTTTCCCAAAATAAAAAGTCACCATTTTCTTAGTAATGATGATGTCTTTTCCGTTGTCAGTTGGAACAATGACTGAAGAAAATTTCTTCTTGACTGGAACTTGCAGCTTTGCTAGGATAGTATTAGACCTTTTCTGCCAGCCCCATATTGTGCAATTTAAATTTCATGCAATTTTTGTAAGTATTACTACTAGTAAAATATTTTTTTTTGGTTGCAGGATTTAAGAAAAGGCAAAGCATGGGGAGAAAAGGTATTCCGAGGTGATAATTGTGGTGTAAGAGAAATTAACAGTGGATCAAAAATGGATTGGAAATTAATAGAAAGAGAGGATGAAGAAGAATTTTGTAAACTAACAGAAAAAGATAAGCGTTCACCCACAATAGTACCAAAATATGCAGACTATCCACCTTTACTAGGGGAATGGTTGCAAATGGATTATAGACGAACTGGGCTACCCTTACCTAAACCTTTTAAATTAAAACTCAAGATAGAAAAATCATTTACAAACAAAGCTGTACAAGAATAAAGTATTTAGTGGCACATTTTAAGAAAATTCCAATGATACCAATGTTTATTGAAACTAATAAAGAGACGAGAACAACAGCTGGAAGTGTATAAATGTGTCACTTACTATTGCCTATAGAATTGTGTTTAGGTCCTGTCCATCCACTATTTACTCTACATTTATTTGTGGATTAATGATGAATGTAAATGTAAACTCTAAAAATAATATTTAGAGATGATAGAATAAAATTTTTGTTTAATGACATACGTAGTTGAACATCAACTGGTCAACTGCCTTTTCTAACTGCCCACTTGCCCCATTATGCTAATAGGAGATTGGCAATGATGATATTGGCATGTGTATCCTTGTCACCTGTGATGCACAAACTGGTAGACATTGATATCAAGGCAAGGCTTTACCTTTTCAAGTTTATAAGATTCTTTAGGAAATAAATATTTGGAATGGGAACTACATCCACATGTTTGAATTAGAAAATACAAAGTATCAACATTCAAGCCTTTTATTTTGAAAGCCTGGCAGAATATTTGGTAAAGGATGGAATAAATATTTACATAACATATATACTCTAATGTCTATTCTTGTATCTCAATAGTTTCCATTCCATACAGCAAAAATAATGCTAAACAAGATGTTCTAGAGTTCAGAACCCTGGGATTTACTTAGCTTAGACCTTAGATTCCTGGCAATACATTTTACATAAAAATCTGCAGTTTAAGGCTTAACAAATAAATTGGTAAAGTCCTCATGTTATCCCTTGACGGCTTTAATACTCACTTGATTAAGGTTTTTTTTAATTATAGGAATGTGCAACTATTAGATACAGGAATAAAGACTGTCAGCAATAAAGCATGAAACAACAAAATTAAAGCTTTTACTCAAAACTGTATATGGGCTATGACGCTAACAAGGTATTTTCAAACTTGAGATTTAACTTACAAAGAGAGAAAATGTTCTTTTAAAGATTTAGAAACAAGTTTGACAAACTCAAAAGAACTCAAATTAATCAGACTTAAATCAGGAAATTCACTAGCAATAACACTTTAAGAATTTGTAAATTCTACTACACGTATACATATAAACAACTCAATTAATTACAAACTCTTGTTTTGTAAACTTTCTTCAGTGCTACACTAAAAAAATAATATAGGGATTAAAATCATCTTCAACATTTCGACCTAACAAGATATCGTAATAATAAATATGAAATATTATGCTAATGAAAAGTAGAAAGATTATTCAATCAGTTATTCACTTATCAAAGCTTTGAACACAATCTATTTTCCACTTTTATTCTTCTAATTTCTGAGAATGGATAAGTACAAAATTTTATGCTCCTTGGGGTAAATGGGGTAAATCTGTAATCTGGTTGATCAATCAGATGTCTTGAGTTCCTTTAAGATATCTGAAGTTTCTCTGTAATTTCTAATAAAATAAAATCATCCAAAAAATGCCCCTATCTTTCTATCTAAAAATATTGATGAATTTGTATATTTCTATTAACAGACAATGTTTTTTTTTTGTGATTTGATCATAGATTTTTCACAACTACAATTCAGAAGACAACATCTATTATCTTGAAATAGTACAATCTAAAATGTCAGGGTGTCCAAATAAGGTTGTACGGTGTATCATGTGAAAGTGATCTAATAACTGTGTAATAAACATATATACTCAGCATATTTATAATAATTAGAATTAGACACTTGTTATATAACAACAGTATTCACCATATTCTGTGTGTTATATATAAAGACTATTTAATAAGATAAAAATAATCATGCAAAATTGGCATTGACTATTTTCAAATTGACTTATTTTTTTATCTTTTTAGTATAAAAGATTTTATAATCTGTAAGTATCCAGTGACAGGTCACAGAGAAAATATCTTTGGAACTGAATGCATCAAACCAATTTACGGACACTTTTGTGTATGAACATCAATTTCAAAGTAGTTTACACATTACAAAATAATATTTCTATATCAGCAGCAAAGCAAAGATTCATAATCATTTTACTATACAAATCACAGAATTTAAGCAAACATTTTTGTAAAGTGTGATGCTCCACCAATAAATAATAAAAAGCGATTATACAAATAACATAAAATGCTTTCATGCAATCATATGGTATTATATAACATCAAAATTATCCAGCCTTTATTATAGAAATCAAAGTGATAATATTTTATTTCTCATTCAAGTCTGTTAAGCCACAAACAGGAAATTGCCATAGTGTTCAATAATCTTGGATGAAGAAAAAGAAAGAAGAAAAAGTTGTAGAACAGATACAAGATATATCAAACAGTATTAAGAAAAGAATGCCCATAGTTACACACCAAATAGATGATACAAGTTTATGTGTCTAACTACCTCCACTAAAATCGAACTTTCAAAGCTTTGGAAATACATTATATCACTATTTTGAACATTAAATACAACAAAATAACAAATTATTTATAAATATATCAATAACAGCACTTAAATATCCTTTACATAATATTCAAGGTATTTCTGCAACCCAGTTTATACAAGGTTTCTTTGTGTATCATCTCTACGAGTTTTAAATTACCTATACATATTACAAATTAAGCCATATAGTACACACTATAGGTGATATTCTAGATAGTATAAAATTAGTGATATATCCCATTGTAAGTTTCATTACAATTCAAAACAAAAGTATACGCCATGCCAGAATATCGACTCAAACAGTGATTTTCAACAATAGTACAAGACATCCTAAACTGTAAAGTAATTGTTCAACACATTCCATTCTTTATAAACATCCCTTAATAGTACAAGACATCCCATAATATTACAAGACATCCTGTAACTATTTTACATATTTCAATCTTTTCAAGACATCCCATAATGGTACAAGACATCTTGTAGTTAGACAGAAATTTTCATTCTGACATTCTATAATTGTTCACATGTCCAAATGATAAAAAGGAATTTCAGCAATAGGTACAAAGTACCAGGAAAATATACACTGTTGTTTCCACAATAAATAAAAAAAACAAGCCAACATTAATTTGACATCACATTAAAGTTAAATGCAATAAGTTTTTTTTCACAGATACACTTTTTAAAAGTTTGGTTTTCACATTTAGTTAATAAGATAGGCTGGGTTTTAAGGAAATCAGGTTTTCTCATTCTTATCACTGGGAAAGCCACTTGGTTTTATGAACTTTTCAGGGCTAGCTCTTGGTTTCTGAAGAAAAGGAAAAGGAAGGAAATTATTAATTACTAAAAAATTAAAATATGATAAAGACAGAATCATACACCCACTGTTAAAGTTTGTATTGCAACTAGGTCTAGTTTCTGACGCAATGTGATATACAGAACTTTCTTAGATGAATGAAAATATTAATGATGAATGATAATTGATATATTCCTGGATGCTTAGATTGGTTATAAATGTATTCTTTGGTTTTTCTATTTTTCAATCTTGTACTTAAACTAGATGGTTAAATCCTGAAAGCAATAAATTTGGGTGTAAACCTGTAAGGCTACAATAATGGAATGAAAAACAGTACTCACATGTACATTAGGATTAACAGTATTGGTAAACATGGGTGGGGAATGACCGGGTATGTACCCAGAAGAACCCGATGGTATTGACATGGGTGTAGGATTCTGTGAACACTGACCATGACTGTGGTTTACTGGTGTAGACTGAACTTGTCCGCCACCCGGAATGTGAAACATCTGTGCTGGTACATTTCGTCTCATCGGGCTGGGAGGACTTTTTGCCATCATTGACATCCCTGGAATAATGAAGTTGTTGCAGTTAAACAGATAAGCGACAAGACCTTGTTATCAAAAACATGTTAACTTTAATTTATAAACAATTGTACAATACTCAGAACTTGGTTGATAATATTGATAGATCAGATTTCTTGTCATTCATATTTCAGAAACTGTTGAATTTAGAATCTTATTCTTGTAATCATAACTTAATAAAATACAGATTTTCTGTGAATAGAACGCCAGTTTACTTGACTATTGATAATAAAGACAACCACTTACCAGGTGAAAGGGGTCTAGCTGTGTTTGGCGAGGCATACGGAATTGGACTTGACACAGTACGTGGACGGACATTGTGACTCAATTCTTGTTGTTTTGTCATCTCATTGAAATGTCTGGAAAAAAAATTTAAAAAATTTCTTTTTGGGATCTAATGAAGCAAGCTGTGTTGGAGCAGGAATCTAATGGAGTTGTCTAAAATAAACAACAACAATTTAAGTCTACCAATAAAACAGTATCTTGTGTCACAAGATTCAACATGATAACATTCCAACCAACCTTTCATCATCCATCTCTAGACTGGACTCGCTTTCAGATAAATGACGGCATAAATTTTCACGACGTTCCATCTCTAACTGTAAACGTCTATGAAGTCTGAGGTTTTCTTCTCTACTATTTCTTTCTTCTTGAGCATAATGAGCCATCTTCTCTTCATCTGAAAACAAAAAGTATTTATCATCATACAGAGGTTTATGTGTCTCAATCAGTGCTATGTTTCTATCAGGAAGCCTTTGTAACTTACATGTACAATAATATGGTCCTCTTGATTTACACTGGAAATTTCAATTGGAGAATTAAGATCAAGATTATAGAACATGGTATAGGCTCATTACTGCTCCAACATGAACATTCAATGGCGCTTTACAAACACATATATATATTATCTACATAAGCCAATATTCAGTAACACACGCACACACCCTGTTCTTCTAAAAATGTGTTTTTAAATTTCTCTTAAAAGAGTCAACAGATTTACAAGTTTTTAATTGTCAAGGTAACTTGTTCTATAACTGTGGTCCTACTATCAGCAAATGATTTATATTTTGTTTTTGGTACATGAAGATTAAGACATGTAGAAGATCTTGTACAATAAAGATTAATATTAGAGTAAACAGATCGATAGATGTTTTGGAGCCAAATAATTTAACCATTTGTACACGATCAGAAGGAGTTTATATTTGGGCTGGACATGCAGTGGAAGAATGTGTTGCTAATTTAAATAGCTTTCAACATGTTGACATTTTTTATTTTTATAGAATAAATTCTGATTTATCATGATTCATTTTGAGTCAATTCTCCACCATCCATTGTTTGATTGAATCCATCCATTGTTTTAAGAGGGTTAATTAGAAATTGAGGGTTTTTGGCTCTTTAATGGCTCCTTATATTTAGTTGAAACATTTAAAATACGTACAAGACATATTTTTTGCGTT